GTGCGGCATGGGGTTCGAACAAGCTGGCTTTTAAAAATGGCGGAGCCCCGCTTATGCTAATGAAGCCCGGGAAATTCAAATCCCGGGCTTCATTAGCAGTATGGGTATGTCTACACTACCCCGCTAGTTCGAACTAGCGGGGTAGTGTAGACATACCCGGAGGGAGGAATGGGGTACGAGTCCCCGATGGGGAGGACTAGGGTGGCTCTGCAGGCTCTTCGGGGTGGAAGCTCTCGTGCAGCCCCCTTATTGACCCCCCCTCCCTGGATGGCAGCCTGCGGCAAGTGCAGCCGGGCTGATGGCCAAGTGCTGTGATGTGCCGAGTGTGGGCATTCAGGGCATTCCAAGCCAGGACTGCTTTGCTGTCCCTCATCGAGTTAGACAAGCGAGCAGGGAACCCCTGAGAACTGTCTGTCCGGGATGTGGGTCGGGTCCCTTTAAGCACAGCCCTCGGCTAGCCTGCGACAGCAGCTCCACGCTCTAAGTCCTATCCTGATGCCCTGCCGGCACTGCTTCCGGCCATCCTTAACCTCGGTTCAGGGTCCATTCAATGTGGACATGCTAGTTCAAATTAGCAAAATGCTAATTCAAACTAGTTTTTAGGTCTAGCTGCGTTCGTTTGAATTAGCTTAGTTCGAATTTACTAATTCGAATTAAGTTAGTTCGAATTAGTGCTGTAGTGTAGACATACCCTCAGGGCCCTGTTAGCAGTGGGGGATTTCACTGCCTGCTCAGCGGGGATCCCGGCCGAAGCGCTCTGAGCTCTCGGAGGCCAATCCTCCGCCCTGGGCCACTTCCTCCAGTCTCCAGCACCACTCAGCTCTCGAGGCGTCGCTCGGTGGCTCGGACCCTCGTGGACAGCCCCCTTGCTGCCAGGGTCGCTGCTTCTTTGTAGTGGTGATGGTGGTGGCGGTGGTGGCGGCTGCTGCTGCTGCCGGGTCAATACCATGTGGTTTAACCCTGGCAAACCACATCCGGCATGAGCTCCTGCCCCTCTGCCAGAGCTGCTCCGCTGCCTCTTATACTGTTCCAGCACTTGGAGCATGCCCAGTCTGGGAAAACGGGTGGGACTTCCTCTGCCCACAGAGTCTTAGCCCCCGTTCAGGGTGGGGTACACTCTCCCCGTCACACAGCCCCAGAGTAGGGGTTGATGAGAGGAGCAGAGAGGGATAAGAGGGCATGCTGCTCAGCACCCCCACTCCAAAACCTGTTCCAGCACCACTGGATTGTTCCTGCCAGATACTTACAGGCCATGGGAGGGGACGAGTCTGAATGAAGCACACCAAGCCCCAGTTATTTGCCCATTGGCCTTATAGGTCCTTGGAGCAGGGGCACAGCTAACCAGCAAATGTTAGAGCAGCTGTTGGACTGTTCTAAACTATTGATAGGGGCTAGGCCAGCCACTGCCAAGACCCAAAAGCAGGGTAGTAGGAAGAAAAAGAATCAAAGGCATCTCTTTGGCAATTACTAGTTCAGCTCTGGCACAGCAGGGGCCTAAGCTATGTTGCTGTTCTGTGAATGAGACAGGGCTATATAAAGCTAAGATTATGTTGCTAAAGTCCTTCTGAGAGGCAGAACAAGTATGTTGGCAAAGCATTATTGCCAGCATTTAACTGTCATGCACTAGCGCTTCCTCACTGCCCCGGCGGGCAGAAAACATACACAGGACCCTCCCCTCCCCAGTTAGATTCAGCCTATTGACAGTCTCTAGTGGCCACAGTGAAAAACTGCAGGCAGGGTTTAGTTAGCTGAATCAAACCAAGCTTTTGAAATACTGTCATCACACTAGATTAACTAGCATGAAACTGAATTTGTGCCGTAATCCTGTTGCTGAGAGCCTGGAGACGTTGAATCAGCAGAAACAAAGGCCCCCCCCCCCCCATGAAGTCAGTCAGCTCTTTTGATTCGCAGCACAATGCAGCTTATTATCTCCTGGGAGGGTGGGCTTTCACTGTCCTTCTACCCTGGAATACACAGCAGATAAGTTTGTTTCTCGTGGTTATCTTTAGGCTGCCAGTGTTTAATAGACATCACTTTCTTGAAATGAATGCACAAAGAAGGAATACACTAACTGGTTAGCCAGAAATTGTCCTTCACTTTTATCTTATGACTTTACCCTAATCAGCCCCAATAAAAAATATATTATCCATATTTTTAAATAAAGAAGGAGATGCCATTCTAGTGACAAATGCATAACAGAAGGAAATCTCATCCCTCTCTTCTGGCCCATCTAGACCAAGAGGTGTTGTGTAGCCTACTGGACAGCACAGCGGGCTGGGACTCCAGAGACCATGACTCTGTTGCTGACTCTGCCACTGAGTGACTCTGGGCACATTGCTCTGTGTGTCAGTTTCCCTACCTGTAAAATGGGGACAATGATACAAAGCACTTTGAGCTCTTTGGAGGAAATGTTCTTGACATTATTATATCTCCTTCATTCAATCCCAGGAATCATCGCCTCCTGCATCAAGGAGAAGCTTGTTTGTTTCTGTTCCCTGCAGGACTGGAGCACTTGCTTGTGCCTCCGTAGTGGCTGGAATGTGCGCTGCAGGTTTGATTCTTTCTCATGGTTTTGTAACCGGCTGTAACATTCCATGCCTGTCCTCTGCTAGAAAGCGAGCAACGGAGCCCACACCGCTGCCACCTGGGTAATCTAGTCCCTTTATGGTCTAAACCCAGGTGCTATTCAAACTGTGTCTGTGGACAACGCATATGAAATTGTCCCACAAATTTCCTGCAGGCCCTGCTGAAATTTCACCTGTGACTCTGACCTCGGTTGAATTTGTCAGTGCAAGTGTCAGGGCCATGCACAGTGGGGATGGGCAGTGCTGCCTGGGCAGGAATGCTCAGCCCCTGCCTTGGAAATGGGGCTTTGACACTGAGGGGTACTCAGGGCCTGGCTTCTTCTATTGCTCTAACATGCTGTCATGATAGAATGTTGCCAAAGATATTTCTCAGCAATTGCCTGAGATTCCCATCAGAACCCCCTGAGCTCAGGGAGACCTGGCTGGCTCCTAAACCCACAGCCATTGCTTTCATGGCATCCAGCTTAAATACCTTTCTTTACATTGCAGAAGAACCAAATTCTATTCTCTGTTCTCCAAAAGGCACACACAGGCCTCTGCAATGATTTCTCATGTCTGGAGCCCCCTCTGGTGGAAATATAGAACTTGGCTGTCTGTAAAAATTATAAGAAACTAATAAGAGCCAAGATAAGGAGAGCCAGGTTCTGGGCAGATGGTGGGAATATTAATGGTTCCTTCACAGGAGCCCAGTGTAACTCTTCGGGCTTTCAGTTTTATTTTTCTACAATGTTCTTGTGTAACACAACACTTGTACACACACAGTCTTTCTGAAGCCTTTGTTAACATAAAGATTCATCAAGCACCATCAAACTGAGCAAGAGCTAACCACAGAATTTTAGAATCATAGTTCTGGAAGGGACTTGGTGAGTCAACTAGTCCAGTCCCCTGCATTCTTGCCAAGACTAAGTATTAACTAGACCAGTATTTCTCAACCTTTTTTTTTTTTATAAAGTACCCCTTTTTCAAAAAAAAATAAAAAAATTATAAGTACCCCCAGTACCTACAGTTTTCAGACACACACAATTTTTTTCTACTGTTGCAACACATTTGTTTAAACAACTTAATCATAGCTGGGCTGGTGATAAAATTTTTGAGTGTAAAAAATACAAAAATGATAAAATGCTGTAAAACTTAAAACACAAATTCAGTTTTCTCCAAATTTCAGTTGTGTTCAGTTCAGAAATCCCCCCAGATTTCTCTCGAGTAGCCCTAAAGGTACTCAACTTAGACCACTGGTTGAGAAACACTGACCTAGACCATCCCAGACAGGTGTTTCTCTAACCTGCTGTTAAAAATCTTCTTTGACAGAGCTTCCACAACCTCCCTAGGCAATGTATTCTAGTGCTTAACCACCCTGACAGCTAGGAAGTTTTTCCTAATGTCCAACCCAAACTTCCCTTGCTGCAATTTAAGCCCATTGCTTCTTGTCCTGTCCTCACAGGTTAAGGAGAATCCTGGGGATTCCTGGTGGAGAACCGCTGCCGTGGATGCCACAAAAGAACAAATAATAAAGATAATATCGCTAAGTGAAAAATGAAACAAAGCCCAGTGAGGAGAATGCCTCAAAATAATCCTATATGAGGGACAGAGCTAGGCTACCCTCTGCCAGTCAGACCCTCAATTTACTTTAGGAATTACAAGGTCATAACTTTGGCTTAATGGCAATACATCTGCTTGTGTCCTATTATTCGTTATTTGTATTACCAGAGTAAGTTCTTAGGAGCTGTACTCATACACCAGGGCCCCATTGTGTTAGGCGATGTACAAACAGAGCATAAATATGCTCCCTGGAGTAGAAAGTCTACAATCTACATAGAAAAAAAACCACAGCAAACAAATACAGATAGACACAGATACAGACTCCACTGTGTCACCTTCCTGTGGGAATTTCAGAGACTCATGGGAGCTTCTCTGACCCCGAGCACAGCTATCCGTGAGCTGCACTGTTGTACAAACAGTACTTTAACCCTGGCCCTGAGTAAACAGACAAAGAAATACACTCTTGCCATTATATCAGGCCCGGGTCTGCTCTGCTGGTAGGGCAGCTCAGAGATGCACAAGACATGCGGTTCCTCCTCCGCCTCGTCACCTTGGCTCTCCTGTGCTGCTTTTTCCTCTTGTGGTTGTGGCACCTTCTCAAGAGTCACCCTCTCCAGCAAAGAGGTAACGTCTTCCTGTTCATGGTGATGCAGGATAGGTTAGAAAAGCTTTGAACATTATTTTCTGTTGTGCTTTAAATGCCCCCGTCTGCCTCGTGCGGCAGTGACTGAAGTTCATTACCAGCCAGTAGATCTTTTATGCCTGTGAAATGAACTGATGGTTTCCTGTCCAGTTCTCAGTGGGCAAATGTCCATGTCATGAAAGTCACCCCCAAAATTGCATATTGGACCACTTGTCACCAGCCGAGAAGTCAAGGCCTGAATAAGCCACAGAGATTGAAAACCCTCTTGCTGCTCTGTACCTCAAGAGTGTGACTCTTTGTTGCACTCCTCTTTGTACTTCTTTGTACAGTCATTTACTCTAATACATGGTGAGAGCAGTGTGGGGATCAAACATTATCATTCCTGTGTGGTCACACAAAACCCTATTTTTCACTGGTCTTGATGAATACGCACAGCAAAGGTGGGTGGAGGATCAGGCTCCTTAGCTTCTGGAAAAATAGAGGAACATGATAGGTCAGTGCAGAAGGTGGGGGGAAGGTTTCACTTATATCTACTTCATACCTGATCAAAGGAAGAAGAGATGAAATTATTTCTTCCAGAGCTGTCAATCCAGCACTAAATTCAGCAGACACCATCAGTTTGAAACGTAGTCAGTCAAAAGAAGTTACAAATAGTTCCAGACACTGGTCATGTCCCTGAATCCCTCATTCCCTGTCTTTCCAGTGTGACTTTCCTAGTGTTAAAGTGTTTTCACTTCCCTGTTGCTGTATGAAAGATCTGCCCAAACCACAATGGAAATGGGCGAACTATCTGAGAAGAGAAACTAAGAGCTGACAGATGCTAATTTAGTTGTTCAGGCTTTATTTTAGCAAGTTTTGAATTTTATATAGCTGTCCAAAAATCAGGGTTAGGGAGATGGAGGCTTTCTGTTTGTATATGCTGTAATGAGTAACATTACGTTGTTCTAATTTAATTTAATAAAATGGAGGGACTGTGTCGGCTTCAAAGTCACACCAATGTTGGGCTGCTAGATATGTTTTCCTTACCATTGTTGCAGGTAATTCATATGGTGGGCTTCTGGTTTTTGGTTTTCCATTAATGTGCTGTGTATTATTTGGTCCATGTACTCTCTGCTGTTTGTGCACTAAAAATTTCCTAGTGCAATTTGACATAGTGCTGTTGGAAACTGTAAAAGTATTATGTTAAAGTGCACTAGGGAACATTGCAAAGTGATTACTCATTACAGTGTGTACTACACATAACATCTGGAATCCTTTCTCAGGCAAAACTTTTAGAGGCATAATACAGATTATTATTGTGTTGGTACTTAATATAGGCCAAGGAAGAATTTAAGGCTTGACTAGGAGCAGGACTCCCATAATGCTTTGTGGTTAAGATAAAGATGACTAATGAAGAATGGAGTTCTCTACTTTCAGCTTATGTTGATCTAACTCTGTAAACGTCTACACTAAAATATCGCAGCTACTGATGTAAGTTGCCCACTTCACCCTCCATGGTATAGTTAGCTTGAGGCGGTGTTCACAGAGACACTGTGTTGCTTACATTGCCTATTGCCATCCAGGGCAAACAGCAGGAGCCCCACCAACGCCCCCTAGTGGGGAGTTAAGGGGGGCAGCTCAAGGTGTCAGCTCAGCGCGGCAGGGCTCTAGCAGCCCAGTGAAGCTCCAGCTGTAAGTGCCTCTCACTGTTGGTTAATCTGTGCAAGCGCTCTGGATGGCAGGAGGATAGTGTAGATATTAAAATACAAATTTACTACCGCAGTAGTTCATGTCAACTGAAGTTGACAGTTTTGTAGTGCAGACATGCCCTGAGTCCCACACCATAGTGGAGAATCCTGCAGCGCTGATATGGCTGGAGAATGTCACCCTAGGATCCCTTATGTACCTGGCTTGTGGGAGTAATGCCCCGTATTCCAATGCTGTTTTACAGAGGATCTGAAAGCAGAGATGAAGGATGACTTACCTCTGACGTTTGACACTCTCCTCTATGTTCAGCAGCTCAGGAAAAGGACACTGAGATCCTTCTGCAACAAAACTGGTAAAGTCACCAAGCTCCCAGCCAGCCAGCAAGAAGCAGCACAGGTGCTTTCGAGGCTCGCAGTGAGCACCAAGCTGGATTTCCTATACTGCCAAGTGCCAGCAATTGGGCTAGAAAGCTGGGAATGGCTTTTGGAGGTGCTAGAGGAGAAAGCAGATGTGACACTAGAGATGCCAGTTCTCCAGCCCCAGCAGCATGGAGCCCAGAAGCAACTTAGTGAGTACAACCTGACAGTGATGGAGGCGATGCTGAGCTCCTACACTAAAGTGCTGTTCGTAAGGGACCCTTTCCAGAGACTCATCTCTGCTTTCATGCAAGGCCTGGCAGGTGGCCTAACTTTCAAAGAGTTTGTCCAGAGCATTTTAAGCAGGGGAGCCCAGAATGCTAGCGTGGAGTGGAAGCCACTGGTCAGCTTGTGTCAGCCATGCCTCCTTCGGTATGACTACGTGATGATGTTTGGCTTCCTCAACAGGGAGGTGCCTCACCTAATGCACCGCATGGGGCTGCCCATGGATGTCCACCTGCCCGAGTTCACAGACTCCCAGGTCCAGAGCACTTATAGCTGGCTCTCAGAGCAGTTACTCAGTGAGCTCTCACTCAAAGAAAGGAGGCAGCTGGCCCACTTCTATCGCTGGGACTTTGCTGCCTTCCAGTTTTCTAGCAGCTTGCTTTGGGACCTCCTCAGTACTGAGGAGAGCAGGTAGTTACCCTGTCTTAGGGTTCATCTACACAGCAGGGCTAAAGTCGAATTAAGTTATGCAACTTCAGCTACTTCAATTGTGTAGCTTAAGTCGAAATAGCTTAATTCGGCTTTTGGCGCTGGCTACACAGCAGGAAGTTGAAGGAAGAACATTCTTCCTTGCCCTTACTCCTCGTGAAATGAGAGTTACCATGAGTCGGAGTAAGAAGTCCTCCAGCTCGACATTATTTCAGAATAAAGGCTTGTAGTGTAGACACGCATTTTGTTATTTCAGAATAATGTCAGTTATTCCAAAATAAAGCTGCTGTGTAGATGTACCCTTAGAGAACAGTTACAGGGAGTTAGCAGTCTTCAAAAATCCAATAGCAGTCTTAAAAAATTTAAAAAACAATAACGGCGGTTATAAAGAGGGCAGTGGTCAACTATTCTCCATGTCCACTGAAGGCAGGACAAGAAGTAATGGGCTTAGTCTACAGGGAACAAGATTTAGGTTTGATATTAGGAAAAACTTTTTAACTATAAGGGTGGTTACGCTCTAGAATAGGCTTGCAAGAGAGGTTGTGGAATCCCCATCAATAGAGGATTTTAAAAACAGGTTTGCCAAATACCTGTCAGAGATAGTCCAGGTTTACTTGGTCCTGCCTCAGTGCAGAGACATGGTCTTAATGATTTCTCAAAGTTCCTCCCAGCCCTACATTTCTATGACTCTGTTATTCTAAAGGTAAATGCTTCCTAATACAAGCTAATCACCAGATGGTGTCAGGAAAAACCCTCCCTCTGTCCAATTGTTCATGTGCACCATGCAGGGAAACATCTTCTAAAGAGAAGTCTAGTATAGACTGGGGCCCAGAAAGAAGATGGAACTTAGATTAATTATTGCCCTGTGTTTAAATACTGCAGTGATGGGAGGGTCTGAAAATACATAAGATAAGAAATTCCACATCAAAGTACACCTATAATTCTTGAGGCCTTCCTCCATGAAAATACCCACTAAAGCCAAGAGAAAACAGAGTATTTCACAGAGCAGGTTTGCTTTGAGATCCCCTGTAAATCCTAGACGATACCATCTCCATTCACATCATTCCCTTCAGCAATCTCCTGTGCACCAATGGAGCCCAGAATACTCCACTATTTCATTTTCCAGACACAACTCAACTTTGGGTGAGAAGAGTCTCCCTTTACTGCCTATCATCAGATCCCCACCATATACATGTGCCCCAGAAAGAAGGGCGCCTGCTAAATAAACAAAATAACTCATTCTACAAGAGAAAAAATTAAGGGGCAACATTTAAATCTTTGTGGGGAAAACACCGACTGTGGTTCCTCTCCGGGCATGTTCTGACGAAGGCTTTGCACTAACCATCACTTTGCTCTCTTTGTTCTGCCATTACTAGTGTCCATTCTCATGGGCTCATATCCCTACTACTGCCAGCAGAGCAGGCTTGCCCAGAGAGACATGCTCCATAAGGTGGCACAGTGGCTGCTTTCCAGAGGAAATTTGGGAAGCAGTGTGCGTCCTTGCATGGTTCTGGGCTTACTGGGCAAAATATCAGTGAGCAGGGTATGTAAGTCCTCCCCATTTCACTTTGCTAGGTAACGACGTGATTGTGCAAATGAGCTCCAGTTCCTACTGTATATTCTGTCTTGTCTCAGCCAACTTGAAATGACATGAAGGCACCAGCACTTACCTTAATAAATGCTTTTCATAGCAACATGGCAAAGTGGCTATTGTGAACCTCTCTCTGCCCAATGTGTGCGGTTTGATTGAACATGAAAAGCAGTGGCTCCTTAGAAAAGCCTTTAAAAGAGTGTAACCTCTCGCCAAGCGTCTGGCATACGGGTTGCTGTATAGTGCTAGAGATACGTGGATATTTATACTCATTATTGGCTTTTAGAAGAACTTGTAACAAGTGCATGGCTGCACATATGAAAACACAATCATCTGCTAAACCACAGCAGTACAGCCTGGGGAACTTTTTCTGCTTGTGCCCTTACCTTCTTCTAAGGTCATTGGGATGTGGTGTAAATTAATTCATAAATATGGGTCAACCACTGAGCTTCTGAAATGGAAGGTGCTATAAAAGAAGCACAAAGGCAGTGTAGTCTACAGGCCTAGTACTCAGGAAAACTGATTGCTAGTCCTAGCTATGTCCCTGATCTGCTGGATGATTGTGTTTCGGTTTCGCATCTGTGAAATAGGGATCATCGTACTGACCGCTAGAATTTCATGCAAATTGATGTGACCGAGCCAGCAACAACAAAGGTGCTAATTAAAAGAATTCATGCATGTAGTGGCTGCATCAGTCCCAGTCTTCTAAGTAGACACGATAAATCAGTTACCAATGGATCAATCACTGCATTGTCAATCCACGGGATAAAGAAGACAAGCCCTTAGAAATGGAGGGCTGGAGAGAACCTCCGGAGGTCATCTGTGTGGAGGCAGGATTTAGTATATCTAAACCATCTTTGATAGATGTAGAATCTTAGGGTATGTGTACACTGCCACCCTAGTTCGAACTAGGAGAAATAACGGTAGTTCGAATTAGGAGCTTTAATTCAAACTACCTAGTCCATGCTGTGTGTAGCCGCAGGCAGGGAGTTTGAACTACGGGGCATTTAAAAATGGCGGCGCCCGGGAACATGCAAATAAAGCCTGGGATATTTAAATCCCGGGCTTCATTTGCAAGTTCGAATGCCTACATTAGCCACCCTAGTTTGAACTAGGGTGGCTGTGTAGACATACCCTATGAGTCAAGGTGGACAAGAACACAGAAGTGGGAATTAACAGAATGTTAGTCAAAACAATTAATTAAAGCTGCCCTTAACAGTTCCTGGAAACATCTCCCTCCACCCAACCCCACCTCCATTCCCATTCCTTGGGTCTGTTAATTAACCTAGTGAGGACCTCATACCACCAAATCTAGCATCATTCCCATACAGACCGTCGCACTAGAGGGATTATGATTTCTGACGTGCCTTTGGGGTGCATAGTACTTTGCAATGTAGTGTGGTAGAGCGCCTTCTCCCTCTTGGTGGATTCCACCCTTCCTCTTAATGCTGGGCTGGGGAATTCCTCTCACCCTGGCAATTTGCCCCCATCCGTGGGTTTATTGTTCCCCTCTTGTCTGAACAGAAGTTTTCTACCGGCCTTCCTAATGGAAAGGTGGAGGGGAGCCTCAGTCTCTGGTAGCCCCTGCAACTCTGGTGGTGGCAGGTGGGCCCCAGTTCAATCTTTCCCTTCTAGTAGCTCTCTTCCCCCAAGCCTCCAGGACCCTGAAAGGTTGTTGGCCCTGTTGGGCAGGATTTCCCCTGCTCTTTACCTCTGTACTTTGAGGTATCCCTCCTGGCATTCGTTACTGCCTGCACTACCCAGCTCTCCAGTAACCCACCTGCTTCCCACAACTCCTATCACAAGCCTATCTCACTGAAGGAGAGGCTCCTTCAGGCCTTTGATTGGCCCCAGGTGTCCTAATTAAACTGGCATAATCCCTGTTCAATTGCCCCGGGGGAAAGAAACTGCTTTTCCTGGGGCTAATATCCCTGCTGTCTACCACTCTCGGATACCCATCCGGCCTGATCCTATCAGTAGTAAAGACCTTGTTCTGAGGATGTAATTTTGGATGGGAAACAATGAAGCATCAGGACATGATCCCAGACTTTCTTCCATAACATTAAATCGGGCATCAATATTCAGTCTTATTGAAAAGGATTGGGAAAGGTAATATTTTGGATTTTTATAAGCAGATATTTTTTTCACTGTAGCAATATTAGGTCTTATAGGATTATACTGGTGCAGCTGTCCGATGGTCCAGCAGAGGGCAGTAGTGCACGAGCATAATAGAAGAGTAATTCTCAAACATTTGTGGATTGTGGAGCAATTTTTAAAATGGGCGATCACATAGTAGGACCATCGTCCCTCCCTGATCCCATATTGTCTCTGGGGCACATTGGCATTTCATGGAAAAGTAACTCAGGAAATGCTAAGACAGTCTCCAAGAGACAAGATGAATACAAAATCACTTTAATGCATTGGTTATGTTTCCTGGTTCTCCCCCACCCTCATCCCGATTTGCTGTCTTTGCTGTTTATTTCTCTTTGCTGAAAGTAGACCTGTATGATGCTATGTATCTCATCTCCCTTTTTTTGCCCCTTCAAAGCTCATTATTCTAGTTTCCTCACACCATTTTGTAGTCTGGTTTCATCCTTCCTTCCAGATGTTAGCTATCCCACGGAGTTGGGTGTCCCCCTCATTTGGCTCATGACTGAATAGATATCAAATTACAATCCCAAGGAGGAAGGGCTCTGCAAAGGGAAGGCCTGCTGCTCACTGCTTGGATTGCTCTGGAAAGCTTACAGAGTCCTGAATTAGAGTACAGCAAAGAGCAAACGTCAGTGTTGAGGAGCTTATGACAGAAGCAGTTCTATGAGCCTACAGGCTACAGTGTGAGAACTGGTCTAACGACCACATAGTGAACACGGCAGATACACATCTTAGGAAAGCATGTCACACTAAGCTACAGAAGCAAAGCTTAAAACAGTGTCCATGTCATGACAAAGCCACTGTTCTTTTTTAGTGGTCTCTTTCAGGGACAGCACCAAAACCAAAGCATGAAAGAAGGTGCTGCAATAGCCATGGGAGTCAGCTGATACTGCTCCACTATTCTTGGCATCACACTAGCACCTAAAAGCCCTTACCAGGATGGAGGCTGCATTATGTCAAGCAACGAGGATACACCCTAGGAAGACCCTATCCCTTCTTCAGCTATGGCTACACTGTAGCCTTCTTGCGGAAAAGCTTATGTAAATGAAGCATGGTGTGGAATATCGCCATGCTTCAGTTGCATAATTAATTAGCAGCCTCTTTTGTGCAAGAGGCTTTTGTTCAAAATGGAGCTGTGTAGATGGCTCTTTTTTCCTCAAAAACCCCCTCTTGCACAAGAACCGTTTTTCCTGAAAAAATGAGGAAGAACAGCTCTTGCGCATGAGGAGTTTTTTGCACAAAAAGGAGCTGTCTACACAGCTCCTTTTTGCGCAAATGCCTCTTGTGTAAAAGCAGCTGCTAATTAAATATGCAAATGAAGTGTGGCAATATTCCACGCCATGCTTCATTTTCATAAACTTTTCTGCAAGAAGGCTACAGTGTAGCCGTAGCCATTTAAAGTGTCTACTACACTGTAACGGACATTAAAGGGGTTCAGTATAACTCACAGGTGGCTGGGTAGTAATGGTTATGCCCATATGACAAAATATTGGTCAGTATCCAGTGGCTACTATTAGATATTCCCTTTGTTTTTCTTTTCTCTTCAAGCAGATCTGTGCCAACCTAGTGTAACCCCAGGACCAAGTGCTATCAGGAATCTCATGAAATTGTGGTGGATCTTCTGCATTCAGTTGCCTGTAATCGTTCCAGATGTTGCATTCTATATTCATGCTAGAGATGTAATTGTGTAGTTGTTTAACTGATTAACCGATAAGCAAAAGCTTATCGGTTAAAGCTATAGACTACACGCGTTTCCCTCTCCCTCTCTCCCTTCCAGTACATTTTTTTGCAGGTTGGCCAACAGCCTGGCTTAGTCCTGGCTTACGACGGGTCCAGGACCTACCCTGCTGTGACTCTGCATTTAAAGTGTACTAAGAGACCGGCGGGCAGGCAGCCCAGATCAGTTCTGGATCGCACCGGGTCCAGGAGCTCAGCCCCTGCACTAGACAGGGACTTCTGCCACCCCACATTGCTGCCTCTTTCTCAAACAGCATCACAGAGCAACAGGCAGCTGGGAGCTGGTTTTAAACTGGCTCCCCTTGCGGATCAGCTCTCACCTGGCACCCTACACTGCTGCCTCTGGTACAGTGGCTGCCGGCTCCGCCCTCAGGGGCTATAGAATAGTTGACTAACCGATAACATTTCATGAGGTTACTCAACCAGTCTATTAACCAATATTTAACATCCCTAATTCATGCTTGGTCAGAACAGGACTCCCTGGCTCTTGCCACTGCCAAGACCCCTGGGCAAAATATTCTCTCTCGAGGGGAGATGCTTAAATGGTGCCATTTTTAGGAAGAATAAAATTTTTCCCTAGACCCTCTGAAATGTAAAAAAGAATATGTCATATTTCACTTATGATAACAGCCAAAGCTTCAAGAAGAGCAGACGCATGGTCCTAAAGCTTGAACGTGTAAATCCCAGTTTTCAAATGGTCTATATGACACCCTGTGTCATACCAGAGTGCAATGCAGAATAATGAGTGGCTGCGTCACCCCTATCCTGTGACTTAGGGTGCCTTACAGCGCCTTGCTGACCTAGCTCCCACTTGGTTGATCCTAAACAGCCTTCCAGGATAAGAGCCACACTCTAGTGTCTCTGTCTAATACAGCCTGGCAGCCATGCTTAGATTACCTTTTGGTTCTCATCAGCCTTGGTTTTACTGCAGGGTGAGCCCAATACACCCCATGCCTTAGATTTCCACCCGCGAAATGTTTGTCCTGTACTGCTCAGCCCTCTCCTGCAAGTTGTATTAAGTCTATTGTTTCTTTAAAAGCAATAATATGTCAACTTTTTATCATAAAAAGTTATTAGGCACTTCAATTTAAACACACTGGATCAGATAGAATATTTTATTGACTTAAAATATCTTTATTAGTTAATAACTTTTTTAGCATTTTAAGTGAGGCATAAAAGACAGAAATGGTTACAAGAAAAATAAAGATAAAATGCAACTGATGCCTAACTTCACAAACGAGATTAAATTCAAAGCAAAGTTTTGTCACCACATGCCTGAAGCAGCCTTACTTGCCAAACTTCCTAGGTCAGGAGAGGACCCTTCTCCCAGAATCCAGTGACTGCTTCCTTTGTTGCTTCTGGTGCAGTGAATGTAGTGGGCAGGGAGAGAGATCAAAGTGCTTTGAAATGTTTGTTCCTTCCTTTTATAGTTCCAGTCCCTGTCTGGGAAAACATTTCCAGATGGGTACCACGAAGCAAAAAGTCTCAGTGGAAGGATGTTTCTGCTGCTTTTCCTCATCTGTTCCTTCCTTTGTTTTCCTTCCTGCTTACCATTTATTGCTTAAATGAAAATTAAGTAGAGTACCTATTCTGCTTCATCATGTTTGCCTGTTTGCAAACCTCCATTTGGAAAATGTGTTTATAACACCAAATAGCAGAAATTTACAACTTCACATACAACGTTGCCACACATATTTTATCAGGATCATACTGATCAGCAAATTATGAGTTATCAAATAATACTTAGAAGGCATATTTTGTACAAAAATTATCACAATAGGGGATAGTGTAAACCCAGTGATATATTCTGTCATAGAGCCATAATATTTAGAGCTGCATTTTAGCAATGTTTTTAAATGCCTTGAATCTTGTAAACTAGGAGCAAACAAACAATATGCATTTTGATACAACTAAGCTGTATGTATGTCTATAGGAACAAAAAATATAGGAGATAGCGAGTGACTCTATTCTGGGAAATGGTAACCCTGAAAAAATAGGGATCACGATGGCTAATTAGCTAAACGTGGGCTCCCAACATGGCATTGGGGCCAAAAAAAAGCCAATGGCATCCAGCGATTAATAAACAGGGACATCTCATTTGAGAGTAGAGAGATTATTTTACCTATTTGAAACTGGTGCAACTGCTACTAGAATACTGCGTCCGGTTCTGGTGCCCACAATTCAAGAACATTGCTGATAAATTGGAAAGGGTTCAGAGAAGAGCCCCAGGAATGATTAGAACAAATGCCTTATAGCAGGCTCACCACTGGGGGGGATAGAACAGGGGAGAGGGGACGATTGCCCTGGAGCCCAGTAATACAAAAGGACCCAGAGCCCTGGGCCCTCTAAATCACTGCCAGAGTGCCATGCAGCATGCTATGGGTGGTGCTGAGGGCTGCCTAGCCTTACCCCCGCCCCTTCCCCTAGAGGCCCTCCTACTTCCAGAGGCATGGAGGAGCTCCCTCTCAAGCCTTGCCCATAGGCCCAGAAAAGCTGTCGGCCCCGCTGCCTTATGAGTGATAGACTCAATGAATTTACTGTAGCTTAACAAAGAGAGGTTAAGGGGCGTTTTTGTAATAAACCTTTGCAACAATTTACGAACCTTCTCAGGAGATTCTCCAACGCTGACAATTTTAAAATCAAGATAGGATGTTCTTCTAAAAGCTCTGCTCTAGAAATCATTTTGGGAGAGCTTTAGGGCCTGTGTTGTACAGGATATCAAACCAGATGATCACAACAGTTATTTCTGGTCTGGGAATCCAGGAATCAAATCACTGCATCCATTTCAATATCATAACACAGAGGCGAAATTCAAACCAGATGTAAGTGGATAACACTCCATTTAAGTCAATGAAGTTACAGCTGCTTCCACCAGCTGGACAGAGACTTCAAAGTGCAAAAAAAGGGGGGGAAAGGCCATTTTTAATGGAGTTAGCAAATCCAAGTTCTCCCCAATTTTACACATCTTCGAGTTTTATAATCATACTTAAAAAACAAATTCTTTCACAAACAAGCTTGTTGTAAACAATTATCTAATCCTTACAACAAATTTATATGAACCTTTTCAATTACACAAACATTAAAGCCATCAATTTACTCATCAGTTGCATTTTCAGCCCACACGAATGAGACACGTGAATACACTTTTGTTTTCTGCGACAGTTTTTCTTATGGCCCCCTCCAGGTAAAACCAGCTTCATGGACAAACCTTGTTCCTTAAACTTCCATTTTATACTCTCACAGACCATGGCTTAAATGTCCCTGGCTCTGCAGATGGACACTGTAAAATATAAATACAAAAAGTTTAATTGACTCATGAAAGCAACAAATTGGAGGCAAACACTCAATTCCTACTACAGACAGACTGACCAGATTGTTAACATTTGTGGTAGGTTGGCTTCATATTCTTAAATATCTAACCTAAGGCCAGGTCTCTACTAAAGGGGAAGGTCAAACTCCAGTTACGTTAATTACCTGGTATTGACACACCTTAATTTTAGTTTCCACATGGTCTTTACAGCAGGAGGTTGATGGGAGAAAACGTTCCTGTTGGCTTTCCTTACTCCTGCTTCTTACACTCTCTGAGTTCAATTTAGTGAATCTTTAGTAGACCTGCTAAATCGAACTCTGGAAGATTGATCACAGCGCGTCAATCTTCCCCGTAGTGAATATGTGGCCATAGAATCCCCATTAGACAGAATACAGGATCTGTATCAGATGTAACTAGCATGCAGAGAACTGCAAGGGTGTGTCTAGACTACATGCCTCCGTCGACGGAGGCATGTAGATTAGACAGATCGGCAGAGGGAAATGAAGCCGCGATTAAAATAATCGCGGCTTCATTTAAATTTAAATGGCTGCCCCGCTCTGCCGATCAGCTGTTTGTCAGCAGATCGGGGCAGTCTGGACACGCCGCATCAACAAAGAAGCCTTTCTTGATCGGCACAGGTATGCCTCGTGAAAGTTGAGAAATGACTGATGCCCCAGTCTTGCAACTGACTACACACAGACAGATGCCTTAATAGAGCCTCATTAAAGTCAACAAGGTTCCACTGGGATGTTGGGGTCCACTTGAACACACTCCTACTGAGTATAATAGGGATTGCAAGGAAGCAGGGTCAACAAGGGCATAGATCAGGATCAGGGCCAGTCTGAAGACTTCAGGATTGGCCCTCAATCAGAAAACTGAAGAGATCATAATATTCAGTAATGGTCATCAAAGCAGAAAGCACAAAGTCAGGCTGTAGCAGCACTTCTCCATTCCATTCAGGAGGCTAACAATGTTAATGATAGACTTGCTAGATGCATTAACATTGTTGGCACAGCCTTCAGAAAGAAGGGTGAGAAAAACTAAGGAGATGCCATTAAATCATTTAATCTATGCCGTTGCGTTATAGTAAGCTGGATTCCTAGGGAATAGTCCTATCCATATTGGTTAGCAGAGCCCACGAGGCAGCTAAAGTTGAGCCAAGGTTGCATTCTAGCCTGAGCCTGTGTTTTATTAATTAGATTGGAGAGAGAGCTGTGCACAGTGCTGACTTCTAAGTTTGCTAGATTGCTGATTTGAGCTCTGTGACTCAGGAAACTTTAACTCTATTTAATAAAAGCAGTGTATTCTTCTGAGAAGGAAATCCAAGTGGCTGCTTTATGATTATACAACAGAGGTGGGCAATGATTTTTGGTAGGGGGTCACTCCAAGATTTTGGAAAGTGGTCAAGGATGGCTCTTTTCTGTGGAGGAGGTGCAGGGTCTAGGATGAAGGTTGGGTGCAGAAGGGAACACAGGGTAAAGGACTGGAGTGCAGGAGATGGTGTGAGGTCTGAGAGGGAGTTTGGGTTGTGACCTGGGTGAGGGGATTGGGGTGTAGGGTCAAGGAGGGAGTGTGGGTGCAGGAAAGTATTTGGGCCTGGAGGAGGAGTGTAGGAGGGGGTACAGGGTCTGGGAGGGAGTTGTAACCTAGGGCAGGGAGGATGCAGAGGGTTTGGAAGGTGACCAGGGGAAGGAGTTGGAGTGTGGGAGGGGCAGGGGTGCCAGAGGCAGGCTTTGGCTGGGAGGCACTTACCTAAGCGTCTCCCAGCCAGCAGCCCTACAACACCCCCAAGGCAGGCTAGGCTCCCTGCCTGCTGCAGCCCCAGACCACTTACAACTGCAGGCTGCTCCCTCCATGTGGCTCTCAGCTCCAGGAAGGGGGAGAGGCTTGTGCCGCTCCCGGCCCGCATGCTAATCTCTCAGCTCCTATTGGATGTTTGTTTCTGGCTAATAGGAGTTGAGAGATTGGCTGAGGTCAGTTCCTATTGGCCGGTTGTTTCCAGCCAATAGGAGCTGACGATTGGACTGGCATGCCTGAGGGTCCCGGCAGGATGGTCCGCAGGCTAGATCCGGTGGCTTGGCAGGCTGGATCCAGCCTGTGAGAGGTATCTTGCCCAACCCTGTTCTACAGTACACAGTAAGACTTTCCTCTCAACCATATAATGCAGATAAATAGAAGAAATAATTTACAGGAGACTTCCCTCCACTCTCTAAATTCAGCACATGCAATAAGGTCTAATTACAAGATTATTCAATCAGAGAGACCGGGGAAGGTAAGTCAATGCCTTTGATTGGACCAGCATCTATTGAAGAAGAGCTCTCTGTGTGTAGTTCAAAAGCTCATCTCTCTCACCAACAGAATCTGGTCCAATAAAAGGTACTACCGCGCCCACCTGGTTTCTCAGTACAGGCTGGTCAGTTCCACTTCCTGTTTCAAGCCAGGGTCAATACTGAGCTCAGTTTGAGCTTCCAGCACAGCAGAGAAATGTACAGAGTAAGGAGATACCTGCATTCACCACTGAGTACATTTTGCAGTGTCTAGTCCCTCTCATGATGCAGCCGATGTTTGGATTTGCATCTCTCTTTCAATAGCATCAAACCATTGGACAAAAGAGAAAGCCACGATCTATATTAAATGTCCTAATCTGATCACATGAACTGTCTCAAAATGACTCTTCTACAACCTGGGGTGGGATAGTTGTTGAACTGGGTCATGGAACTTTACGAAGCTGAGAGAGCCTCAATACTGTACCAGTTTAGTGAAGTTGTCAACGCAGGCATTGCGGATCCTCTCCGGGGTGGCAGGGCTGTCTAGTCTGAATGGCTGTGTCAGGCCTGATTCAGCCCTTGCAGCGAAGATGGCATCTTTGATGGCATAAAACACAGAGGCTGACAGGAACAGGGGAGGTTCACCCACCGCCTGAATAGACAGAACACACAAAAGAATCACATTGACCCCACACAGTTTGGACTGCAGGGCCAGTGGAAGAGGAGCAGAATCTGCTTTACTCTTGATTTCCTTCTTTTGTAGGGCTTTGACCTCCTTTCCTGCTAACTGCATGAGTACACGATCATGAATAACAGTGACAGACAAAAATAGCTTGATGGATTTGCAAGCATGCTTCCCTGGAGCCAGGGGAAGGAGATGAGTGATCAGACAGACAAGGTATAAAAAAATATTTAGATGATGACATTCTGGGGTCCCTTTGTGTGCCCACTTGAATGGACAGTAAACTGGACATTCTTTGAACCTGTGCTAGGGTCATAGGTCAAGCTGCATACTGCTCAGTCCTAGCAATCTGACCAGAGCCAGTCTGCCATGGCAACAGCAGAGCAACATTTACAATACATCATTAACTCCTTATGGCGAGGGACCCTGGAACCCCCCCCCCAAAAAAACAGCACTCTGCAACCAATGGGGGAAAAGATAATGGAATTACACCAAATCCTTGGAAATAAATCTGTAGCTTCACAGTGGTTTCTATGCTGCACACCCCAACTATTCAGCACTTTCAGAACAACAGGAGGAGCAGAACTCAGAACACCTGATCTGAACACACAGGCTACTTAAGCTAAAGTAGCTTGGTTAGCAGTATAGGGTCTAGGTCACAGCTGAGCAGTTCAGAGTCTGCCCAGTACAGGGCAGTAGTGACAATGTATTAGCCATTTCATCATTAAGTCTTTTAACATGTATGTTACCATTCAAATTAAGGATTACTGGTAGAAGGAATGCAAACAAAGAGGAACAGCTAATCAAAATGCTCTGATCTCTTCAAAGCTGGATACATCAGGAACCTCCTCATTACTATAAATGTGATTTCTTTACACAATGTTCATGTGCTGCTTCCATGCAAATAATGATTAGTAGAGGGCATGTGGTTGCCAGGAGGATACCTTGGATGCATAAATGGCTTTGCTGTTTGGACAGTCCCGGAGAAGAGAGACATGGAACTCTGTCGGGATGTCTCCAAAGGCAGGGATCTTGTACATTCCAGGGCCTCGGCTATACAAGTCTCCTTCAGGAGAATAGCGCAACTCTTCCAGGGTAAAGAGTCCCAGGCCTTGGACAAATGCTCCCTCTATCTGTAAAATAAAGAAAGACTAAGTCACATTCTTTTTTTTTTCCTCTCTCTCTCCTTCACACACACCCAAAAGCAATGATTGTTCTCAATGGGACTGTCCTGGCCAAATTCCCACCTGGATAATTACACTCTGTGTCCTTAAATTCCACTTGCATTTTCAATTGGATATGGTATTCTCCTTGTGTCCCTGTCCTATATTTGCTGTGAAATATGGCTGTGTCCCAACCAAGAAGTGACTTCATTTCAGCGGTGGGTGAGTAATTCCTCTACATCACAAATTGATGCTTGTAAAGTGATATGGAATCCTTTGGGATAAAACATACTATATGCAGGAAATGTAAGATGCAGTGTTTCTTATGCAGTAAATGAAAAACACCCATAAATGACAAGCTACTGATTTCTTTATAGATGCTGTTATTGTAGGCCTATGTCCAAATTTAACCCTTTAGTGAATCCAATGGTAATTCAAAGATTTTAATGCAAGTCAAGACTTTTCATGCAAGTCAGGACTTTTCAGCTTAGAAAAGAAAAGACTAAAGGGGGGACATGACAGAGGTCTATATAATCATGACAGGTATGGAGAAAGTGAATAAGGAAAAATTATTTACTTGTTCTCATAACATAAGAACTAGGGTCACCCAAATGAAATTAATAGGTAGCAAGTTTAAAACAAACAAAAGGAAGTTTTTCTTCACACAGTGCATGGTCAGCCTGTGGAACTCCTTGCCGGAGGATGTTGCGAAGTACAGGATTTTAACGGGGTTCAAGGAAGAACCAGATAAATTCATGGAGGTTAGGGCCTATCAATGGCTATTAGCCAGGATGAGTAGGAATGGTGTCCCTAGCCTCTGTCAGAGGCTAGGAATGGGTGACGAGATAGGGATTACTTGATGATGCCCTGTTGAGTTCACTGCCTGTGGGGAATCTGGCATTGGCCTCTGCTGAAAGACAGGATACTGGGCTAGATGGACCTTTGGTCTGACCCAGGTATGGCCATTCTTGTGGTCTTTTGTAAGGCATTCTAAAAGCTGAAGGTGACAAAAGAAAACTTCTGAAAACAAATGATTTTTACTTATTTTATGAATTTCAAAATAAAATCTCCCACTGCTGTACTCTGATACACACTCCATATTCCTGCCTCATCAGCACAGAGATGTGTGTACATGTCTGCCCATTTCTCTGGCTGTGTCTGTGGTGGTTTGCACACAGCAGCCACCAGGAAGGGTTGAAGTCCCCCACCCATTGAGTACATACCCTAACAAAAGGAGCTACAGAAAAATACATTAGATACAATGGGTCAACAGCAGGCACATTTTTCACAGATATCCAAGTCTCACTGACAGGCAATGGGACCTAGAAAGACTAGAGAGATGATACAGCAAATACTCTAGGACTATGTCTAGACTGACCACTTTTTCCGGAAATGCAGTCGCTTTTCCAGAAAAACTTGCCAGCTGTCTACACTGGCCGCTTGAATTTCCACAAAAGCACTGACGATCTCATGTAAGATTGTCAGTGTTTTTGAGGAAATACTATGCTGCTCCTGTTCGGGCAAAAGTCTTTTTCCGAAAAACTTTTGCGCAAAAGGGCCAGTGTAGACAGCAGAGATTTGTTTGTCGCAAAAAAGCCCCGATTGCGAAAATGGTGATCAGGGCTTTTTTGCGGAAAAGCGCGTCTAGATTGGCAGGACGCTTTTCCGCAAAAAGTGCTTTTGCGGAAAAGCGTCCTGCCAATCTAGACGCGCTTTTCCGAAAATGCTTTTAATGGAAAACTTTTCCATTAAAAGCATTTCCAGAAAATTATGCCAGTCTAGACATAGCCTAGAAGATTCCTCAATAGGCTCTGAATGCAAAAGGATAATTATAAATTCACAACAACTCACTCCAAAGAAAAGGTGAGAAGGAGGGAAAAGAATTGCTTGTAAATAAAATAGAACTCTCTTTTAAGTTCAAGTCCCACTCTCTGTGCTAACCCTGAATACCAGTACATGGAAGAGATCTGATGGAAGGGCCTTGCCGGCAGGATTGGCGATTAAATTTGTCATAATATACTGCACACACAAAATTGGCCAAATGAGGTTCCAGTCCTGAAGGAGTGCAAATCTTCTCTCCCCACCAACCCAGTATGCGAAATTTCTCTGAATTCATTCTCCTTACTTTGGCCGAGATGTACAAAAACCACGGTAACTGAAGGCCACACAGGAGTCTTAAACAGTACCAAACAAGGGACTATTCCTGCCTAACCCTGTGTCTATTCCTGCTCCAATTTTGGAGGCTGGTTATTTCTCATTAGCCAGCTCAATATGCTTCTCTGTTTAAATCTACGGTGTTACATTTGCAAAGACATAGCTTGTAGACAGAATAGAAGAGGTTGTCTAGAAATGGCCCATAGCAGCAGAATTTTCTGACCAAACAAAATGAATTTGAATGAGAGATATTAACACTTACCTGTCCTATATCTATGGCTGGGTTTAGGCTGGTACCAACATCCATTACTATGTGTGTGCGAAGATTCTGAAAGTTATCAGAAGTAAAGAATAAACAAGCACAAAGAATAATTGAAATCAGGCCAATCTACATTTATACTTTTTAGTTCGCATATCCACTACCACCCACATTTTGGCCAGGATTCCTGTGTTCACACATAAACATGTATGGCAAATAAGGACTTCTCACGCTCCACTGGTCAGATGATGGGCAGTTGGTGCAGCTGGGGCTGGAGGAGGCAAGACCCCAGTCCCATAAATAGCTCCGCCTCCTCTGGTAAGGCCCCGCCCCCCACGGGAAGGGGAGGAGGCAGGGTAGTGTGCCGAGTGTATCCCAGCCTCCCTGGAGCACCAGAGAGGGGAAAGAGAGGCGGGGGAGCCACCTCCCCGGAGCAGTGGGGGAGAGGAAGAAAGCCAAGGGAGCACATGCACACAGCGCAGCTCCTCTACCTCTCTGGAGCACCGGGGGAGGGGAGGAGGCCGCATGGCTCCAGACTCCCTAGCCCAGAGCACAGGGAGGGCAGGTGCTGGGGGCAGCATCACTCCACCCCCAGAACGCCTACAGCAGGCATGCTGGGGACGAAGTGTGGGCAGGGCCAGGCTGGTAATTTGGGAAGGCAAAGCCTTCCTCCGCCTAAGCCACCAGACACCCATGGGTCAGACAGTAAATAAAGCTGATTGTTCTTTTTAAACCATAATATTGAGCCTGAAATCAAACGCAGCTCTGGAAACTCAAACATCATCTCAAGTTCTCAGAGATCTCTTTGATCCATTATGTATTAGTTCTAGGTCCCAGTGATCAGGGCTTTGTCTCCGAACATAACAAATGAAATCAATGTCTGGTTCAGGCAAGTATTTTTTTAATAAAAATCTCCCATCCCTAGTTTTAATGAGTAACGCAAGTCTCTAATCTTTTACTGCTACTTTGTGCTTACATAGTGCTGGCACCTTTTATTTAACACTCTCAAATGTTTTTGCAAGCCTCGCAGTACCTTAGTGAGGAAGCTAATTATTAATATACTATACCAACTTTGCATATGGTTACATCAAGGAACAGTAAAGTTAAGAAATCTGCTATTAGTCTGTTTTCAGTCACTGTGGGTGTGTCTAAATTACATGGCTCCATCGATGGAGCCATGTAGATTAGGATGATCGGCAGAGGGAAATGAAGCCGCGATTTAAATAATCGCGGCTTCATTTAAATTTAAATGGCTGCCGCACTCTGCCGACCAGCTGATGATCAGTTGTTTGTCGGCAGATTGGGGCAGTCTGGACGCGCCGCTGTCGACAAGGAAGCCTTTGTTGACCAGCGCAGGTATGCCTCGTGAAACGGCCTTTGTCGCCCGGCGCAGGTATGCCTCGTATCGCGGCTTTATTTCCCTCTGCCGATCATCCTAATCTACATGGCTCCATCGATGGAGCCATGTAGATTAGGATGATCGGCAGAGGGAAATGAAGCCGCGATTTAAATAATCGCGGCTTCATTTAAATTTAAATGGCTGCCGCACTCTGCCGACCAGCTGATGATCAGTTGTTTGTCGGCAGATTGGGGCAGTCTGGACGCGCCGCTGTCGACAAGGAAGCCTTTGTTGACCAGCGCAGGTATGCCTCGTGAAACGGCCTTTGTCGCCCGGCGCAGGTATGCCTCGTATCGCGGCTTTATTTCCCTCTGCCGATCATCCTAATCTACATGGCTCCATCGATGGAGCCATGTAGATTAGGATGATCGGCAGAGGGAAATGAAGCCGCGATTTAAATAATCGCGGCTTCATTTAAATTTAAATGGCTGCCGCACTCTGCCGACCAGCTGATGATCAGTTGTTTGTCGGCAGATTGGGGCAGTCTGGACGCGCCGCTGTCGACAAGGAAGCCTTTGTTGACCAGCGCAGGTATGCCTCGTGAAACGGCCTTTGTCGCCCGGCGCAGGTATGCCTCGTATCGCGGCTTTATTTCCCTCTGCCGATCATCCTAATCTACATGGCTCCATCGATGGAGCCATGTAGATTAGGATGATCGGCAGAGGGAAATGAAGCCGCGATTTAAATAATCGCGGCTTCATTTAAATTTAAATGGCTGCCGCACTCTGCCGACCAGCTGATGATCAGTTGTTTGTCGGCAGATTGGGGCAGTCTGGACGCGCCGCTGTCGACAAGGAAGCCTTTGTTGACCAGCGCAGGTATGCCTCGTGAAACGGCCTTTGTCGCCCGGCGCAGGTATGCCTCGTATCGCGGCTTTATTTCCCTCTGCCGATCATCCTAATCTACATGGCTCCATCGATGGAGCCATGTAGATTAGGATGATCGGCAGAGGGAAATGAAGCCGCGATTTAAATAATCGCGGCTTCATTTAAATTTAAATGGCTGCCGCACTCTGCCGACCAGCTGATGATCAGTTGTTTGTCGGCAGATTGGGGCAGTCTGGACGCGCCGCTGTCGACAAGGAAGCCTTTGTTGACCAGCGCAGGTATGCCTCGTGAAACGGCCTTTGTCGCCCGGCGCAGGTATGCCTCGTATCGCGGCTTTATTTCCCTCTGCCGATCATCCTAATCTACATGGCTCCATCGATGGAGCCATGTAGATTAGGATGATCGGCAGAGGGAAATGAAGCCGCGATTTAAATAATCGCGGCTTCATTTAAATTTAAATGGCTGCCGCACTCTGCCGACCAGCTGATGATCAGTTGTTTGTCGGCAGATTGGGGCAGTCTGGACGCGCCGCTGTCGACAAGGAAGCCTTTGTTGACCAGCGCAGGTATGCCTCGTGAAACGGCCTTTGTCGCCCGGCGCAGGTATGCCTCGTATCGCGGCTTTATTTCCCTCTGCCGATCATCCTAATCTACATGGCTCCATCGATGGAGCCATGTAGATTAGGATGATCGGCAGAGGGAAATGAAGCCGCGATTTAAATAATCGCGGCTTCATTTAAATTTAAATGGCTGCCGCACTCTGCCGACCAGCTGATGATCAGTTGTTTGTCGGCAGATTGGGGCAGTCTGGACGCGCCGCTGTCGACAAGGAAGCCTTTGTTGACCAGCGCAGGTATGCCTCGTGAAACGGCCTTTGTCGCCCGGCGCAGGTATGCCTCGTATCGCGGCTTTATTTCCCTCTGCCGATCATCCTAATCTACATGGCTCCATCAACGGAGCCATGTAATTTAGACACACCCACAGTGACTGAAAACAGACTAATAGCTGAAAATAGCTGGCATAGCTGAAAACAGACTAATCCAGAGTCCTCAATCTAACCTCTGGACAATGCTTTTTTACCTTAACTACAGAGGATTTAATCATGTAACCCACTCACCTGGTGGTCACCTGTCAGGCAGTCTATCTCAACCTCGGAGCAAGCAACACCGTAAGAGAAGTAGTCAAAAGGATTTCCTTTATTTTCCTTAAAGTCATACCCAAGGCCAGGAACTCTTAATAAAAAAAATACAAATTTCTGGGTCCATGAACAGCCAAAATAAATACTTTTTCACTGAATCATCTGCTTTTCATAAGATTTCATTTTCTTATGCTTCACACTTTTTCCCCTCTGTGCATAGGAGATACACAGAAAAAAAATGTTACTTACCTCTCTAACTGCTGCTCTTCAAGATGTGTTGCTCATGTCCATTCCATGTAGGTGTATGCGTGCTGCATGCATGCGTCAGAAGTTTTTTTTCCTTAGCAGCAACCGTTGGGCCAGCAGGGAAGCCCCCTGGAGCAGCGTCGCTTTTTCAGCTAATATATAACCTTCATTTGAGCGGCGGACAGCCCTACCCAGGGCTGCGTCCTCCCTAGCCTTGTGGGCCAATGCATAATGATTGGCAAAGGTGCGGACCAAAGACCACATGGTGGCCCTACAGATGTCTAGGATCAGGACCTGAGCCACAAAGGCTGTGGAGGAGGCCTGGGTCTTAGAGGAGTGGGCTGTGAGGGGAGGAACTGGTACCCGGCCAGCTCATAGCACTCCTTGATACAGGACGTAATCCACGAGGAGTTTCCTTCGTCCTTTCTGCAGTTGCTACAAACAGCTGTGGAGAACTTTGGAAGGGCTTTGTCCTTTCTAAATAAAAGTCTAAGGCTCTCCTAACATCAACATGTGTAATGCCTGTTCCTTTCCCGAAGCATGGGGCTTGGGGTAAAAAACCAGGAGAAAAATGTCCTGAGACACATGAAAATGAGACATCACCTTTAGAAGGAAGGCTGGATGGGGGCGTAACCGGACCTTGTCCTTGAAGAAGACCGTATATAGGGGGTCCAAAGTGAGAGCCCTCAGTTTGGACACGCACCTGGCCGATGTGATAGCCAACGGGAAGGACACCTTCCAGGAGAGGTGCATCAGCTAACATGTCACCAGAGGCTTGAAAGGGGGCCCCATGAGCTTGGAAAGAACTAAGTTTATGTCCCACTGGGGGAGGGGCTGACGCACATGCAGATAAAGTCTGTCCAAATCCTATAAGAATCTGTGGACCATGGGATGCGTGAAGAGCATCATGTCCCTAGAGCCCTGAGGAAAGGCGGATATAACCACTAGGTGATCGATGAGGAGGACAACTCCTGGACCTTAAGGTGGAGGAGGTAGTCCAGAACCAGTGGGACCTGGGTGTCAGAACAACAAACGGGTGAGAACTGCTGTGAGCGCTTGCTAAGCAAGACCAGAGCAGGTTCCAATGACCCTCACGAGGAGAAAGAAGAAACTGAGGGAGTGGAGGTCCAGCAGGGGTATATATTAGCCAATAAAATGGTGCTACTCCACAGGATTCCCCTGCTGGGTGCTGCTAAAGGAAAAAACTTCTGACGACGAGAGCACACAGCGAGCACATACCTACATGGAATGGACATGAGCAATCACTCAAAGAAGAAATAAAGAATACAAGACTATCTTGTATTCCGTAAACTTAGTAAGACTCCTTCTTCAAGAAGTATTTTTAATCAATCTTAACTAACCTATCTGGAACCCACACATTTAAAATGTCCATATACAGTCCCAATCCCAAAAGTCCAAAATTAAATACTTTATGCATGGACTAGAATTGTGCAATGCCAGAACTAGTAAAATTTTGTGCTGATGCTGACATGAAATGGAGCCAGGAAATAAGACAGAGTTGTGAAGCCATTCATTTTTTAAGAGTTGTTCGCAGCAAATCCTGTGTTATGCAGCTCTGACGGCTTATAGTTTATGTAACTATTAATGTTTTGTGAAACGCCAACAAAGCCACTTGGCTAGGAGACAAAGGCTTTTCAAAGATGCAGTGGAAATTGCCTCACCTCACACATTTCAGCCCCATAGTGTCTATTCACAATATCAAGTTTAATGTTTTGTGATGAGTCCTATGCCTTTTATAATGATGGGGCTGTGTTTGCCTCTGACAGTAATACTGATTGATGGGAGAAAGGTTTAATTTTAGAGCTACACAAGAACCAGCCAAAAACAGAAAAGGCATTTTTTAAAATGAGAGAATGAAACTGAGCATAATGGAATCAACTCATGCACTGGAGGCTGGAATGTGGCTTTATTTAATTGACTGCCTCTAGTACCATTCTGAAATCCCTTTGAGGTTTTCCTAGGTAATAAACCTGGACCCCTTCTCCACTGGGCATGGAAAACCTAAAAGGCAGTAAAAACTGGCCAAGTTTTGATCTTGAGAGACGACAGGAAGCTGAGAGCAGGATACAGGAGCAGATTCACTTGCATCTCTAAATCAGAACTAACTCCATTGAAATCAGTAGCAGTACTTCTGGGTTATACTGGAGAAAATGAGTTCTGAATGTGGCTCCACACACTTGCCTCAGAGCTGTGCTCCAGCAGTGACTCATCTTCTCTAGCTCAGGAGAGCTTCATAAAGGTGTGGCTGATGGATGGGCTAATACAAGCACCCCTCAGCTTACCTCACCACATAGGTCAGGATATGCAGCTGCTGTGAGGACTACTGCAAATTTCACCTGCCATAAAAAGCTGCAAAACAGCTTCATGGCCTGAAAGATTAATTATGCACCCAGTAATCCTCATGCAATGCTCCTGCACATAGACTATGGAATTAGAAACGCCACTGCGCTATCCTAACTTTAATAATCACTCACCTATAAAATCCTGTGGCTGACAGGCTAACACAGTTAACGTAGGCTTCATTCACCTGATAAAGTAAGTATGTGTTAGAGACAGTTATTCTTAGTAAATTAATTCTTGTACAATAACCTGAGAGTGAATGCTGAGAAAGCTCACATACACAAGAGGGGATGGCATTCACAGTAGAGTGACATGAAGTGCAGTCAAGTTGCAGTGGGGAAGTTCTAGGCTGGATATTAGCAAAAGGTATTTAACTAGGTGGGTGGTGAAGTACTGGAATGGGTTACCTAGGGAAGTGGTGGCATCACCATCCCTGGAGGTTTTTAAATCCCAGCTTGACAAAAACCTGGCTGAGATGATTTAGTTGGGATTGGACCTATGTTTTGCAGGGAGTTAGATTCAATGACCTCCTGAGGTCTCTGCAGTCTTATGATTCTATGATTCCAATAATTGTTTTTGGAGAGAGAAACATGTAGCGATTTCTTGATTTCTTCATCTTCCTTCTGCACCATAGTAAAAATCTTCCAAGCACAGGAGACTTAGAGTTTGAAACTTAGAACTTGGCTGGAATAGTCATACATGGGAGTATTTCAATTTGGGTGGGCCTTGACAATACAATGCAAGGAGTGCCCAGTCTTGGATGCTGGAAAAAGAGAACTATTGTCCCCACCAAGGCTTAAAAAGTATTATGGAAGTTTCTTATAGAGAAGTCAACTTTTTTTCCCCACAGAGTGACTCTAAGGTGAGCAGAGATTTTATTCATTTTATTCAGATTGCATCAGGATTGCAATCTGACCATTGAGCAACACTGGCACCATTTGGGAATGGTGTACATATTTCAAAGGAGGAATGTGGAAGTGCCTATCAACTAGTCGAGTAGTCGATGGAAATCCCATCGACTACTCGACTAATAAAATAACCGATAGTTAAAATCCTTATGCTATACTCTCTATCCTAGAGCTTCCTAGAGCCTTTCCTACAGGATAAGCAGGGATGGAGGATTTGTCTATGTGGGGTTGATTTATGAACAAAGTTCTCAACTGCTCATATCTAAGTTGTACCAGGTATAAACAACTTACCCAGTCCTTCCAGGATCCTTTGGGGTTAGAACTTTTGAATGGCTCTAGCCTTTTTAAAATAGTCTTACAGGCATTCTAAAAAACAAAACGAAACACAGAGCAACACTTTTAAAAGTAGTCCTTTGAAATGTGAGCTTATTACACAGTCATTCATAGTTACCCCCTGCCTAAGTCAACATGGTCTTCATGACACTGAAATATCATTAACTGGACAAGGTTCAGTAACTGGGAGAGTTGATGAGAAAGATGTAATTTGACTGGAGAAAAATTAGATTCTAAAGCTGATTGGTTGTGCTTATGGTAAAGGGAGGTCCCAGTGATGGCACAAGAGCAGAGCCAGTTCTGCGGGTGGAAAAACAAGGTGGTCAGCCAAGCTACCGTCCTGAAGAGGGCACTGTATTGCAGTGGCCTGCCATATTGGTTCTGCTCTTACTGGCTGCCTCTGGTGATTTTGTTTTGGTTTTTCGCTCAGCCACTGGGGGCCAAAGCACTAGTAAGGTTTTCCATCCTGGCAGCCAAAATAGCTAAGGCTACACCTTATATGGGGCCTTCTGAGTCATGACACAAACTACTGGAAGGACTCTAGCTCATGAAGAAAACATTGCCTAGTTTAACTACTTCCAGATCACCTGACAGTATCTAGCAAGGTGAGATTGTAGCATCATGGAAATAATTCACCGTGCCCTCATTCAATTCACTTAACCATGCAGCATGCCTATAGTTTGATCCCAATTCCAGTTTTAGTCCCAACCCATCTATATGTTACCCTTAACAGTGTGCCATGCTTGCGGTTAATGCCACAGACATGACTAGGAACCTGCCTTTCTTCAGTTTACTAACTGGCCAAGGAGTAAGCATGGGAGTCTCATAAGAACCTTGAAATGAATATGGTCATTCATTATCTGCTGCATCTTAATAATCATGGCCATCACACAGAATTATGAAGTATCATGTACTTAGTATTTCCTTTCCAAGGACATCCCATATCTTTATGAAGCAACAAGTACACAGCATGTCCTGGAACCCTAATCTATCACACCAGAGGGTTGAGTTACTCAAACGCCTTACAAAGACAGCCATCCCATTGATGTCTGCGCTGACAGAAGCGGCTGTTGGAGAGGTATTGGGGACGGTGTTAGTGCTGGTCTCACTGATGTGAATGGTGGTGGTGGGGATTCCCAGAGTTTTGCTGGCAACCTGCAGAGCAACAAAAAATTACTGTGTAGTGTATGTATTTGTGAGGCATGCCAGTTCCTACCCATACTACAATGTCTCTTCTAGCCCATCCCAAATTTCACCCCTTTTGGTTATTTGCAGGAGTTAGTTAACTCTAGGTTTCGTATGGTCCAGCATGAGAACTTGTGTATGTATGTCTGTCAAACTTCCTTACACCTGTTTCATTACACAGACATTTTTTATCCCGCCAGAGATTTAACAGCTGTAAAAGACAGAGAAGGAAAAGTCCCTGTAGCTCACTCAGTCCATCGTCTTGCCAGTATGAGATTGTTCCTTTCAGTATAGTAGAGATGTGCTATACCTAGCTTTAAATGTTACCCAAACAATGGGGGTATATGCTACCTGTACTTGTACTATGTATGCAGCAAATGCCCTTTAATTGCTATAACATTTATTGCAGTTTCTGTTTTTGCATCCTTCCAGAATTTAAGTTCATCCTTGGATTGGACACACCTGAGCTCTTCCTGTAATGAGGCCATGCATTTTCCATTGGCACTTCAAATTTCTCTCTCAAAAACATTACCATCTACTTGGCACTCTAACTATATTAAATAAGTCATTGTGCCAAAGAGTCTGCTTATTAAAAGATGATGCTTGCTGCAGTACTGCCCTGCACGAGTTTGTTACAATGACTTGTGCATAACAGGGTTTGTACATGCCATGTAGCATCACAGACCAGGGAAACCATGGAAAGAAGAGGGAACCATGGAAAGAAGGAGGGATGGAAGAACCCAAACGTTTGGGGTAAAAAGTTTCTAAACATCTCTCTTTCTGAAGTGACATAAAAGCTTAACATGTTCTGCAAGTATCAGGATGAAATCTTGGTTCTACTGAAGTCATTGAGAGTTTTGCCATTGATTTCAATGGAGTCAGGACTCTACCCACAGAATTCTAGAACCTATTAAGTTCTAAATTATAGGTTCCAGGTTCCCCCATCAGTAGCAAGGTCTTTTAAAGTTAATCCAGACTTGCTTATTCCCAGGGTAAATCTAGAGTAACACCATCAGCATCAGTGGAATTCCTCCATATTCACATTGCCAGGAACTCAACACTCATCTTTACTGAAATTTAAAAATAGATGTCAAATACAAAAGACAAGGAGAAAAATTAGCTTAAATATAATGTGGCTATTGCAGTTTTAAAGGACCAGAGAGAAAAGATGTAGCTTCTTATTTTCAGGAGAACAGTGCTATTCATACAGCATAGTTTACGTCAAGGGACCCAAACGCCCCGGCCCACAGGCCACTCCCAGATAGAGCGATTGCACAATCTGAGCCAGGACTCCCAGTGGGCTGGGGAGAGTTGTCTGTTACCAGCCTCCAATCCCTAGCCCTTCCCACCATTGGCCCACCCTCTCCCTACATGGCACCCTGTCCCCTGAGCACACAGCTTTGGGGATCACTGAGGCAGGGGCTGACACCATGTGACAGCAGCAATCACATCCCCCTGAGGTGACAGAGGTCCCAGGGGAAGCAGAATGCACTGGGTGGATGCACTAGGCCGGACTGTGCAATCGCTTTAGCTGGGACTGGCCTGTGAGCCAGTTATTTAAGATCCCTGTCCTACACAGCTGCATAAAACTGAATATATTAATTTAAACCAATGTGTATAGATAATACAGATTATAGTCTTCCCTTCCCATTACAAGGCCATTTTAGAAATCTATCATAGGCGCTGATGCAATGAGGGTGATTATTAGAGTTTCAGACCCTCCACAAACGTACAAGCCATGACAGCAGTTCCTTACTGCCCATTGGAAAGAATATTAAAGAAGTGAAACTGGAATTTGTGTTAAAAGAGGCCTCATGCTGACATGTCATTACCTGGATCATCTTGGTGTGAAGTCCTTGACCCATCTCAGCCCCACCATGTGTAAGCAGCACTGAACCATCTGTATACACTTGGACCAGAGCCCCAGCCTACAACAGGGAGTATTCAAAAGATAAAGGGTTTAAAGGGTTACCTTAAATAAATTAGCAAATTACCTAGTAGATTTCAGTACTAGGCAGGGATGTAAAAAAAGCTGATAAACAGTTCTCTGGTTAAACAAAATGTTTAACTGGTTAACCGTGATCTGGTGGAGGGAGCTGCCCGGCTGGGGTCCCGCCTGCCCCTACCCAGGGCATAGGGTGGTGGCTGCCAGAGCAGCCAAGGCCAAGCTGCTGCTCCATGCAGCTGGGCCAAGGCCCCACCAGTCCCCACCTGGGGCATGGCGGTGCCCCAGCTGCTGCTGCAGCACAGCTGGCTGGGGTCCTGCCTGCCCCTACCTGGGGCACAGCAGGGCTGGAGCTGCCCCTGCCACAAGGCCAGGCCAGATCCTGTCTGATCCTGCCCAAAACCCAACTAGCCCAAGCTATGTATAGACAATGACAACTGTTGACATTCAATAATGCCAGCATATTTCACAATGCAGTTATCTTTAAGGAGATGGAGTTGTTCATGAAACTGGGTGCGTCATGGGGTCTTCTGGACAAATGGAACCCTGAAAGTGTGGTGTATAACATCTGCATTGCTTTGGAAAGATTTGTGTCATTTCTCCATTGGGGACGTTCAGAGAAGGACTGAATCATTTTGATTCAGAAGGAGAACCTGGACTGGTGATCATAAAATCTAGTTAATCTCTGACAAAGATGAATGATAAAGCTGATCCCAAACTTTGTAGGAATAATGGCTATCCCCCTCTTCTTCCAGCGATTCTGTCTGAGAGAACAAAGCAACATTAGTAATTCCCAGCTGTCTTCTGTCAGGCATTCATCCACACTAGGACACTGTGCTTTCCTCTAAGTCAGTAAAGACAAATGCAAACTACTATGTCTAGGAAGGAATACATCAAATGCACTGCTACAAAATGGGAAATAATTAGCTAATTAGCTAAGCAATAGTACTGCTGAAAAGGATCTGGGGATTATAGAAGATCACAAATTTAATATGAGCCAACTATGTTGCAATTGTGAAAAAGGTTGGTCATTCTGGGATGTATGAATAGGAGTGTCAGACCTAAGTCATAGGAGTTAATTCTCCCATTCTATGCAGCACTGGTGAGACTTCGTCAGGAGTAATATGTCCGGTTAAGAGCACCACACTTTAAGATGTGGACAAACTGGAGACAGTCCAGAGGGCAGCTACAAAAATCATAAGAGATTTCAAAAAAGTGACCTATGAAAAAAGGTTGAAAGAGCTGGGCATGCTTAGCTAAAGAAGAGAAGGCTGAGGAGGGACCTCATAATGGTCTTCAAATATGCAAAAGGCTGTTACAATGAGAACAGTGATCAGTCGTTATCCATTGCCACCAAGGGCAGGACAGAGAGCTGCATCTCCAATCCATCTCAACCAATTTCTCTTTCCCCCAAAAGCACAATTACCATCTTTGATACCACCTAAAATACTCTCTCCAGCTAAAGGGAAAAGGAAGGAGGGATGTTGTTAAAGTGAAAGCCTTGTTTCAGTGGTTTTGAAAGTGTGGTCCGAGGACAACTAATGGTCCATGACTATCTTGCAAGTGGGCCATGGGATCAGGACTCACCCCCTTCCTCCTTCCCTGCCCCCCGCAGTAGGGAGTAGCCCCCACACCGACAATGTTAGAGCACCAGTACTGCCTCCCAGCTGCAGTAGGAGGGAGCCCTGAGTTTTGTGGACCAGATCCAGTTTGCAGTGGGAGGAAGCGACTCCACACACTGCTGCTCCCCCTCATCCCAGCTGGGGGAACAGCAGTGCGAGAAACAGCTCACCTGGAGGCTTTTCCTGCTCACTTGGAATCCCAGCCAATGGGAGCAGCAGGGGGCAATGCCTGGGGACCCAGAGCCAGGGAAGTGCCTCCATCACCCTTATGCCCAGACTCTGTACCCCATCACTCTCACTCACACCCCCTTGACCCCCCCCCCCCCACAGCCTGCTCTTGCACCCTTCCTCCCAGCCAGACCTTGCACCCTCATCACCTCCTGCACCCATTTTGTTATCATGAGTGGTTGGCTGGTGGTCCATGGAAAGATTTACAATAAGTGGGGTGGACCACAGGTGTGAGAAACACTGCCTTATTTAAATACTTTACATTCCAAATGCTTTAGCAGTTTCTCCTTCTTTTCCACATCTTTAATAAAAGGTTAATAATAAAAGATTTTTATGGTGTGCTCGCCATGGCATTAAGCAGGCTCATGTCTTCATACCCAACACCCTTGACATTGTTTAACATTGTTGAATATTGGTCAAAGGCAGGGTTACAGTAACACCTTCGGCCCATTTATTCCATTTAATTGAATAGAGCAGGTCCACTGAAACCCTACTTTCCTAGGATTCTAACAGATACTTATATTGAAGCTAGAACAAGGCACTTGGCAGGAATAGAGTTAAAAACAATCGTTAATGTCTATTAGGGATGTGCTTGGTATTTGGGTCCCCATCAGAGGAAGTCGGATTTGAATTTTTTCCCCTCAAATATTTAGGGAAATGATTGTCTGCACTGATTAGTACTTGACAATGAATATATATACACACCTTTTGCCTTCTTTATTTGGCTATCTAAGAACCAGCAAAAAAACCTGGTTTCATGTGCTGCTGAAATGCTATGCAAAGTCTAGATTTGATAAACCCCTCCCTCTACTTCCTTATCCCTACACAAATGTAAAACAATAGGCTGAATTAATCCCTTGTGCCAGTCCATGGGAGGTCCTTGACTCATTATAACGTTAAGGGTCCTTCCCACACTGGGACTGAAGAGATGCCAGGAAAAGAAAAGGAAAAAAGCCACATCTTCACCACAATTTTAACTCTAAATCACCAAGGTTACTACTTGGACTTCAGTAGACAGTATAAAACCTACCTATTGAAGTCATCAATGATTTGCTTTCTGGTGTGATACTCTGAGTTCTTTACACATTCTTTCCAGCATCTCTTCAAAGTGAATCCTTCAAGCTTTTGGTTAAAATGGGTCAGGTCTCCTTCATCATAAAGATTCAGCTTTCTCACCTTACCAAAGAAAGAGACATTGATAAAGCCCATTAAGTGTAATTAAATCAGTGCTTTTGTCCAAGTCTTTTTATAGAACAATGTCCAGAACAAATTAGGCTTTAGTTGTTCCTCCTCCTCTTCTAACTCCATTGAACAATATGTTGAAAGTCCATGATACGTTCACGAGAAAACCTGGTGACAAGAATTTAGAGAGTGGGATTTTTAAGAAAGCCTACGGGATTTAGGTGCTGATGGGATTTGAGTACCTAATTGCTTTAGGTGCCTTTGAAAATTGCTGATGTTATAGAAGGAGACAAATGAAGTGGCAAAGGAAATTCAGCGAGGCAGAAGATAATGAGTCAAGTCACAATGTGGCCTACTGACTTCAGTAGACAAAGAATTGGGACTCCAAATAGGACCAGCACAGACAAAGGGAGAATGCCTGTGTTTAGTCCCTAATTGTACTTATGTGTCAAATTCCCAAGACGTGGCTAATATGCTGCACTGTTCTGCTTCAACTGATTTGTACCTGTTCTGCTGGCAGTCCAGACTTCAGGATGACATCATTCATCCAACACTCAACGATCATCATTCCCTGGGGACCCCCGAAGCCACGGAATGCTGTGTTAGAGGGCATGTTAGTCTTGCAAACCGTACCCTCACCTTGGATGTTGGGGATATTGTAAGCGTTGTCCATGTGGAACAAAGCTCTGTCCATCACCTGAAGAACCACAGATAAAAAACAGAAGGGAAAGCACTTTTTCATGTCAATCCCATGTCAGATTGTACACTTCTTGCTAAAGCAGTGAGGTGACACAAAGCAGCAAGGGCTAATTTACAAGAGGAGGGTTGCTTTCCGTGTGAGCCCCTGAGATGCAAATCACTCCCAAGGAAGGCAGTGAAGGAGGCAAGGCCATGGCTCCAACCCTGACTGCACTGGCACATGAAGTTGGCTGACTCCAGAAGGAGGAGTTTGCTGCAGCTTCCCGAAGGATAATGCAGCAGGTATCTGCACACTGTGCTCGACAGAACTGTGCCTTCTGAAGTAAAGTCCATCTAAAAGCTCCTCCTGGGACGGTGCTGCCTCACATTGGTGCCTGCTCTGGAATGCATCTAAGTGCCAAAATCCAGCCTTGAAACAGGCACTATTTGTGGGCTTGACTTTGCCACCCTCATGCATGTTGAAACAGGCTGCACCTCCCTACACCGTGACTCTCTGATTCAGCAACATCCATGGTCTGATAGGATGTTCCCAGGCCAGAGAGCCCCGTGGCTTGGAGGTAGGAAGCAGAAGGGCCGGCAGTAGGCTGAGCTGGGGTCAGTGACATGTAGCCTGGCCAGGGCCAGCAGTAGGGTGAGTGGCTGAGGCCAGAAGCGTAGCAGGCTGGGGGGCCAGTGGCAAGGAATCTCCCCTGATCCACCAAATCAGCTCATTCAAAACCGGTCAGGTCCTGAGGGTGCCTGACCAGGGAGGTCCAACCTGTAGTAAGTCAATGCACAACTTAATGGCTGGCTGGCTTCAGTGTGAGTAAGGGAAGCACAATCTGACACTGTGAGAGTAAGGATGATTACATGAGGAAGGGTGGTCAATGGGACTATGCACAGTGACGTTTGCAGAATCAGGTCCCTTCCCTTCCTTTTTGTTTGCCAGCACTAGGGTGAGGTTTTTCAAGAGCACTCAGCATTGGCGCAACTCAGCTCCTACTCAAGTCCTAAGGAGTTCTACCAAAGGAGTCCAAATTGACTTCAACAGGAACAGAATAAAGTTGACACTGAGCACTTTTTAAAATCCCACCCTAATTGAAATGGGCAAGGACCTGATCTGTGCACTCCCATACAACAAGCCTACCCAGCACACAACGAGCGCAATGGGAGCAACACTGGTGTAATCCAGAGCAAAACTGGGTCCCAGATACAAAATGGAGTTGTGCTACATATCTGACTTCAAAATTGTGTTTAAAAGGGTTGAAAAGCAATTGTAGCCCTAAAATTCCATTAATGAACATTTTTACATTTCATATAATCTAATGTGGCATAGTTCATATTTTCTAATGTGCACAGTCTGAATTCTCGCAGCTGTCATGAGAATTGCGTCCCAGTGTCATGGCAGTCACGGTGTCCCATGTGCTGGAGCTGGCTTAGATAGCAATTATTGGTGCTGCGGAATGGGCACGTTCCGTGTTGTTACAATGGAGAACAAAATGAGTGAGTGTTGCTGGGAACAGCTGAAAGTGGAATGCGACTCTGAAATGAAATGTGGCAGGCCACAGTCTCTAACATGTGGAAATACCAAGACAAGTTTCTTTGCTAATATATTTTTCAGGTCAGTTTCTCTAGTCAGCGCCTGTGCATTTTTTGCTACTTACAGCCAAAGAAAGATCTGCAGAGTTGCCCCCGTTGCTGTAGTATGACACCTTCAAACTGTTGATCTTACCATTCTTCATGAAGCCAACCTGCGGGAAAACAGTCCCTTCGTGAAACCAACTTGTGAGAAAACAGTCCCTTTCAACCTGAAGGGATTGTTGCTTAAGACCGTACAACCCTTCCTATTGACCTCTTGACAAGAAGATCTCACTCCCCAGGTGAGTCATTGAAAAAACTTTCCTCCAAAAAAAACCCTCCAACAACCCTGAATGGCCCTCATGCTGATGACAGGTAGCATCTTGGCAACATTGATGCGTGTTGTCTTCTGCTGAACAACTACCACATGGACATTATCAGTGGAGGTTTCACAATGTCAAGGCCATCTAAAGAGTGTTACAGCTCACAGTATGCCAATTGCTGTGATTGCAATGGAGACACAGAACTTAGACACTTCTACTCCAAAAGTTCAGGCTCTTCCTTCTTGAGCTAAAAGAGAATCTCTGTTAGTTGTCAGCTGTGAAGGAAATAGGACCCAAGTGAACCATTCTGACTCAATCCAGTACAGGTCAATGACATACACACTAGCTAATTCATTGCAATACTGTACTACTCAATTACATTTGTTTACGTGACATCACCAAAATAATACACATTTTCGCATTGTCTCTGTACCTTGTACTGTCCCAAAAAGGGATGTCTCCCACCAGTAATCAGCATGTCCTCATCTCGATCCAGCATGCAGCGTACAGGGCGACCAGTCCTATCAAAGGATACATTGAGAGTGCTAAGAGCATGTTGAGCCTGAAACTTGCTACCTTCTTGGAACAGGGAAATACTTCCCATGGTTTGTGAGATTTTTCATTACAACTAAGCTGGTGGATTGCCAATGGCTGCATGAGCTAGGGAGTAAATCACCCAAATTATTCACTTTCCTCTTAAGCAATTGGCATTATTGATGAGCAGGATACCAATCCCACCCACAGGGAGGCAAAAGGACAATTGCCCCAGGGCCCAGCAATTCTAAAGGGCCCTGCGGTGGCAGCAGCTGAAGCCCCAGGCCCTGTAGAATGGCCCTGGGAGCACTGTGTGGTTCACTCCAGAGTCCCACGCCACATATTCCACCAGCTCCGAGGGGGGTACTGCTCCAGCCCCACTCCTTCTGCCCAAGGTCCCGCCCCTTCTGGGAGCACAGATCTGCCCCTCCCCACATTGTCAGGGCTTTGCAATCCTGCTGGTACCCTGTCTAGATACTAGGGCTTCTTAGAAACATGGCTTATATTACAGTAATAAAGTAATTTATCACTAATTAATATCCTCTAGTCAGCTTAAGTATGTAATAGCGCTAAGTAAAACAGTAACTTGCCTTCCATTACATAGCCTGGCCTTAGTTATTTAAGCAAGTTTACATTTCATCCCTTAGGTGGCAAAGTTGTTCTTCCTTGTCTAATGAGCCTCCTGCCTTTCCTCTGCTCTTCACAAGGTTTCAGAGCAGAAATCTCCAGGGATATGAAATACTTAGAGGAAGAACAAATAAACTGTTTTACGGATTCCTTCGAAAAGGCAAGAGACCTTTCTCTACCTCAGCAATTGACCCCAGTGGACTCCATCAAAGTCACTGTTGCAGCATATTGTCCAGGCAGTGTCGTCAGCAGCTTGATGACGGTCGTACATACAACTCTCACTTCACAGTACACAGTTATTGCACAGTGAGGCTATGTCTAGACTGCAAGCCTCTTTCAAAAGAGGCTCTTTCAAAAGATACTTTCGAAAGAGCCTCTTTCGAAAGAGAGCGTCTAGACTGCACGCGGAACTTTCGAAAAAGCAAGCCGCTTTTTCGAAAGAAAGCACCCAGTGAGTCTGGATGCTCTCTTTCGAAGAAGCCCTATTTACATTCAAGAACGCCTTCTTTCGAAAGAGCACTTTCGAAAGAAGGCGTTCTTCCTCGTGAAATGAGGTTTACCGCCGTCGAAAGAAAAGCCGCGTTCTTTCGATTTAATTTCGAAAGAACGCGGCTGCAGTCTAGACGCAGGTGAAGTTTTTTCGGAAAAAGGCTACTTTTTCCGAAAAAACCCCTGAGTCTGGACACAGCCTTAGAGATGATGGGGCCCCATGACAGCGCCCTCAAAAAGCCTTGAATTTGAGGTTTGTTTGAAATCCTGATTGAAATTTCACAAATAATCATGTGCTTTGTGGTGGGCTGAACCAAAACCCCCAAATCCAAGCACCCCAGAATGTTGGGGCATTTGACATTTGGGTTTCGTATTCTGTAGACCGGGCCCAACTCCAGGTCCAATCACAAGGCCAGAGGGCACTCAAAAAGAACAGGCACACCAGGGGTGGTGCAGGGTTAATAAAAGAAGCAAGAATGGGGGGGGGGGCAACTGGTTGCCATAGCCATGTTGGTACACAGTGTGGTTGAGGTGAGATTTGTGATGGGTTCTGAAAGGGGTGGAGCAATCAGTCAAATGACAGAAGGGGACAATCTCAGGCTACTTCTAGACTGCAGTGCTTTTTGGGGATACCAGAGGTATCCTGAAAAAGCAACGCCGAGTCCAAGGAACATGTCCTCTTTTTTGAAAAAAATTTCAGAAGAACTGACGCGCTCTTTTGCCATCCTTGTAAACCTCATTCTATGAGGAATGAGAGATGGCTCGAAAGAGCACTTTCTTTCATAATTTGGCTCTGTGTAGACATGCCAAATTTTGAAAGAGCCTCTTTCGAAAGTAAATAGGAAAAAAATACTCAATTTGCAGTACGCCTCAGACACAGCAGAAATGCAGAATCACAGAACGATTAACAATGTGGCTTTATTTCCCTCAGGTTCTCTAAGTTGATGTTGGAGATGGCTGCCATCCTGCTTGCTGTGCCCACCCTATTCATATGTTACTCAAGGGTTACATCTGCCTGAAAGCAGTTAGAACTTCACTTTCCAGCTGAGGAGTTACCTACCCTTGGGATTCTCAAACCTGTTGTAAGCCTTTGGGGGTAAGAAACTGAGAGAGATTCCAGTCCAGGAAGCAAGAGTTCCTGTCCTGATTCAAAAGCACCCGGACTTCCTTCATCTTGTTAAAAAAAGACAATGGTACGACACAGGTGGGTCTATGCTGTAGGTGAGAAAGGAACCCACTTCTCAGCAGCAAACCTTACTTGAATGCAGCCACAGCTACTGCTGTTGACACAATAGTGCTTCTGGACTCCTTGCCTCCAAACCCTCCTCCCAGTCTCTTCACTCGAACTAAAATTCGATTCTCAGGAACTCCTAGTACACTGGCAACAGATTCCTAAAGAAAAAGTGAAGTGGGTTAGTGAGGGAGCAGTAGTGAGGGCATGGGGAGCTAGAAACACACACAACTTCGGTCTTAACTTTCTCTTTCCTGTGACTGTAGCATCAACGTAGGTGCTCAGACACTGTGGTGGTGGCGGGGGGACTTAAGAGTGAGATGTCTAGATAGATAACTGAAAGCGTGCATCATCTCCACTTGCAGCAAAGACTGTCTGATCCTAGTTTTGTGCCTTTCAGGCAGGAAGCTTGTAATCAAGGAACTGAAATCTAAAGCCACTGTTGGCAACAAGACACTAAGCTAGAGGCATTTGCTGGTCTGCTCCAGCTTGACAGTTCCTTTGTTCCTTCTTAAGGTGGTAAAAATACCCTACTGATGGGTAAAGATCCAACTTGCTAGGTTCCTTACCCATCAGTAGGGTATTTTTACCACCTTAAGAAGGAACAAAGGAACTGTCAAGCTGGAGCAGACCAGCAAATGCCCCTAGCTCAGTGTCTTGTTCCCAACGGTGGCTAGCACCAGAAGCTTCTGAGGTAAGACTCCTGCAGAGGGCAGATGTAGGATAATCTGCCCCTAGGAACCAAGACCTAATAGAAATTGACCCAAATTCTGAAGCAAAAGGTTTAATACCCCTTCCAAAACATTTTACTGTAATCATTTAGGACTATGGACATTCCGAATAGCCATGTAACTGTCCCACCTCTTTTCAGAATGAACGTAGAGATCATGGAAAGCTCACAATTGACCTTCAGTTTCCAGGGTTTTACTTTATCTACAGGAATACAAAGTACAGGCAGAGCTCTCTCACACACACACATTGCCCTGCTTGGTCTGAAGAGATCACCCCTACAGAGGAAAGGGTTGTTCCAGTTAATTGGGTTTCATACCACACCCATATCGGACGTGCAATTCAACCTCTGTGCCCATTCAACCCTTGGACTCTCTGCTGAGACAGCCAACAACTAGCACTAGCTAAAGTGGAAGGGGTTTATGCAATTCGAACACCTGCCACTGGGAACTGGACTGTCCCAGTGAGCTAAATGCAATAGGTTTCCTAGCTAGTCCCAGCTTTCTGAGACACAAGAAAAAGCCAGAATCCACTGCAGATGAACGTTTTGTCCCAGTCTAGCATTCACCAAATTCACCAATACAGGAAGCAGAGCCGGCCCAAGCTACAGGCTGACCGGGCTACCGCCCAGGGCACCCCATTATAGGGGGCCCCGCGCGGGGCTGCCAGACCGGGTGGGGGTGGGGCCGCGCATGCACTGGGCGCCCGGGGGCGGGGCCATGCTCCTGGGGCCAGGGGCGCACGAATAGCTCGGGCCGGTCCTGACAAGCAGTTACCTGTGTTTTTGTTGGATTCTGAGTGGATACAAACAGTTCCATCTCTCCGTCTTCACCCTTAGGCACAGCAATGGTGCAGTGAGTCTCCAGATAAAAGTGTTCCTGTCCACCAATGTACATTTCCCCTAGAGAACCAATGAAAAGGTATTCAGAAGGACTGTCGCTGCTACAAAGCTGTTTGCAGCTTTCCCCCCTTTCTGGGTTCTCTGGGTCACCTTGTGCCTTTATCTCTTTAGAGCTGAATGTCACAAGTTTCATACAATTAGACCAAGATCTGAGTACAACTCCCCATCTACAACAGCTTATTACCCTGCAAGTCTAACTGAATGCAACTGTGTTTCTTTCCTTAAGGAGCAAGTGATCCACGATATATAGTGACCAAACAGCCTTCTTAAAGCCAAAGATTTTACTTTGCACTAGGAACAAAGCATTAGACAATGCAGCAAACAGGTCTACACAACAGCTACCTTATCTAAGGTCCTACCATTCCATTATGACTGTAGGTGAGGATAGCCTCCCCCTCAGGCCCAGTCTGAGGCAAACACCCACCAGCCACCACATACCACAGAAACACTAATCCAGGAACCTAACCCTGCAACAAAACCAGTTGCCAACTCTGTCCACATATCTATACAAGCAATACCATCACAGGACCTAACCACACAAGCCACAACATCAGGGGCTCATCCACCTTCACATCCTCTAAGGTGATACATGCCACCATGTGCCAGCAATGCCTCTCTGCCATGGCCAAACCAGACAGTCTCCATGCCAGAGGATAAATGGACACAAACCAGACATCAAGAAAGGTAGCATACAAAAACAAATAGGAGAACACTTTAACCTCCCTGGACACACAGTAATGGATCTAAAAGTAGCTATCCTTCTACAAAAACTTCAAAACCAGACTTAAAGAGAAACAGCAAAACTGCAATTTATTTGCAAATTTAACACAATCAAATTAGGACTGAATAAGGATTTAGAATGGTTCTTTCACTGCAAAGGCAATTTCCCCTCTCTTAATATGCTGCTGGGAGTGAGCCACATCACCCTGAATGAATTGACCTCATTAGCACTGGTCCTACACTTGATAAGTAACTCCCTTCTTTTGTTATACCAGTATATATACCCCTGCCTCTGTAATTTCCACTCCAATGCATCTGACAAAGTGTTTTTTACCTAGAAAAGCTTATGCCCAAATAAATCTTTTAGTATTTAAGGTGTCCGATGTAAGCTTTTTTGTGGATTTTTACGCACTAAAGTTTATGCCCAATCTCAGAGAAGGGGACAAGCCAGAAAGGTAAGAGAGGCTCTGGGGAAAGGCAGCAAGATATAGAATATCAGCAGCCAACCTCTTCACAAACCAGGTGAAGAAAATTTGCCCTTAAAGATGTTGATTCCTCAGAGGGGGAGGACTATAGTGACTGACCGGAGGGCAACCCACAAACAGGAAACTGCAACTGCTGGAGTGAGAGGGGCCACAGCAAGAATGAAGATGATGAGAGGAGGGTGCAGCACCTGTATAGAGCTACTCCCACAGCAGTCAGGAGGAGGCAGCCTAGCAGGGAAACATCCCATGACACCAGGACAAAATATAATGTTAATAAATTACGATAGGACAGTTCCATATGCGTCACAGAACCTAAAGCCAAAAGCCACAAGGGGGAAAGATTCTAAAGGGACCAAGTCTCATTTTCAAAAGAGATTTAGGTGCTTAGAATCCCAAGTCCAATGATTTTCAAAGAGATACAGGCTTCTGAGGCCTTAGCTACATGGAGAAACAGATGGGCATAAGCTTTTGGAATAGTTCCTTGTGTGGACTCTATATTTCTGAATATGAGTCATTAGTGGAATAACTAATTAACACATAATTAAGTGACTTTTTTTTCCAGAACTGTGTTCACACAGGGAACTATTTTAGTCAATTTCTACATGTGAACAAAGCCAATGTGTCTAAAAGTCACTTTAGAAAATTGGACATGGGTGGGCACTTTTGAAAGTTCTACCTATTGTCTATTTACACAAAGTTGTATTCAGTAAAATGAAACCTTGCACCCAGTCCAGCAAACCTTAGTCACATGAATGAATCTTACTTATGCAATTACATCTCTTGATTTCAATAGGATTTCTTATATGAGCATTGTAGGAAAAGGAGTTGTATCTGTTTGACAGACGGAGGTGATAACTTTGTGCTCACCTTCCACAATGTAATCAGATTCTTCAAATCCTTTCTGGACATTTCCTTTCTCAATCTTCCTTGGAACATCATAAAAGGATTGTTTCTCAATAGCTTCCTGGGAAAACATAGTTACACAGTAAGGTTGCCTGGGAAGATGGTAGATCAAAATATTTCAGCTAGAGTAGCATTAGTACTTTTGTTCTGATTCAAAAAAGAATTATTTGGGACAGAGTCAAGAAAACTGGTTTGAGACCAATTAAGGTTTTAATTATAATGGCCTGTTGAGTTAGGGCTGGTTGAAAATTTCCCATTTAAATAGGCTTTTGACAGAAAATTGGGGTTGCAACAAAATACCGGAAAATGCCTGCTTTCTGTGCAAAATGTAATGATTTTGTTAAAGTGTTTTAGCCAAAAATAGGAGTTGTTATTTACTCATCGGCTACGTCTACATTGGCATCCCTTTCCGGAAAAGGGATGCTAATGTGACGAGTCGGAATTGCAAATCCGCGGGGGATTTAAATATCCCCCGCGGCATTTGCATTTACATGGCTGCCGCTTTTTTCCGGCTTGGGGTTTTGCCGGAGAAAAGCACCAGTCTAGACGCTTGAAAGTAGGAATAAGGGATCTTCTGTTAAAGGGCTTATTTTCCGCAGACCAGAGGCACCGGGCGGGTTCCCGCGCTTCTGAGGCTTTGCCAGAGCAAAGCCTCAGAAGCGC